TAAGAAACTTGGCTGCCACCAATGAGGACTGCTGTGAAAGCATGGGTTGTTCCCAGTAAGGACAGCATCGCATACCTGGTCTGGGCCCAGTGAGATTGGATGTGAACATCTGGCCTGTTGCAAATGGGGATAGCTGTGAACACCTGTGCTGGGACAAATGAGGATGGCTGTGAACATCTGGGCTGGGCCCTAGGAGGACAGCTTGGAATAACTGTGCTGGGCCTAAAGCAGATGGCTATGAACACCTGGGCTGACCCCAGTGTGGACAGCTATAAACACCTGGGCTGGGCTCAGGAGGACACTTGTTTATTTTGGCTGAGCCCATTGAGGACAGCTGTGAGCATCTGCACTGGGTCCAATTAAGATACCTGTGAACACCTGGGTTGTCCCCATTGAGGACACCTGTGAACACCTGGCCTGAGACCATGGGAACTGCTGGGAACACCTGGATTAAATCCAGTGAGGAAAGCTATGAACACCTGGGTTAGGCCCACTGAGGACAGTTGTGGACACATGAGCTGGCCCCCATTGGCTGGCCTCGATGAGGATGGCTGTGGACATCTGTGCTGGCTGTCATGTGGATGACAGAGAACAACACCTTGTGTGGTTTAGATGAGGACAACTGTGAACACCTGTGCAGGCCTGGATGAAGACAACTGTGAATACCTGGGCTGGGCACAAGGAAGACAGCTCTGAACAGGTGTCTGGGGCCAATGAAAATGACTCTAAGCCCTGGGCTTGATGTCATTGAGGGGACGCGTGAACTCCTGGACTTGCCTTGCTATTGACTGCTATAAAAATCTGAGCTTGTGCAAATAAGAAAGGCTGTGAACCTCTGGGCTGACCTTGATGAGGACGGTTGTGAACACCTGGCCTGGGTCCAATGAGGACAGCTATGAAGAGCTAGGCAGGGCCCAGTGAGGTAAGCATTGAACACCTGGGTTGTCCCACTGAGGATGTCTATGAACACTGGTCTGGTCCCAGTGAGGACAAGCAGTGACACCTGGGCTAGCTACCAGTGAGGACAGCTCTGAACGCCTTGGCTGGGCCCTATGAGGACAGCTTGGATTATTTGGGCTTGGCCCAAAATAAACAGCTGTGAACACCTGAGCTGGGTCCAGTGAGGGCAGCTATGAAAACCTAGGCTGGGCCAGTGAAGACAGCTGTGAACACCTGGCCTGGGTCCAGTGAGAACAGCTGAAAACACTTATTGGCTAAGCCAATAAGAGCAGTTTTGGCACTGGGGCTGATTGCCATGGAGACAGCTGTAAACACCTTGGCTTGTCTCCATGAGCACAGCTATGGATGTCTAGGCTGGGCCAAATGAAGACATCAGTGAACACCTGGCCGGGGGCCAATAAGGGCCTCTGTGAAAGTTTGGGCTGCCCCCCGAGGATGGCTATGGACACCTGTGTGGGCCCAATATGGATGGCTGTTGACAGACACCTGGACTCATCCCAATGAAGACTGCTGTGAACAACTGGGCTAATCCCACTGAGGATGACTATTAACTCCTGGGCTGGATCCAAATGAGGATGACTTCGGCTGGACCTGATGAGGATGTTTTTGAACACCTGGGCTTTCTCTGATTAAGCCGGGTATAAACACATGGCCTGGGCCTAACAAGGAAAGGTCGGACGCCTGAGCTAGCCCCAGGGAGGGAAGCTGTGAAAACCTGGGCTGGAAAGGGCACCACCCAGGGACTCCGTGGAAAGGGTGCATCTGGTGAAAGGAACTGCTGTACTTGCAGAGGTGTGCAGACCCAGCTACTGGGGGCCTTTCCAGCACCTGCCTGGCTCCCACGCGCCTGGCTGCTACCTTGCCACACTCTTAACCCTGCCCCGCCTCGCCCCACTCCTACCTGTGGCCCTGCTCCTAGCTAAGCCCAGCCATCCCCTGCTCCCACCCACCACCTGGCGCTGCCCCTTCCTGCTCCTCCAGAACAGCCCACACCCGCCTGGTCCAACAGTGATCAGAGCAGGACACATAGCTGCTGAGTGCTCTGCAGTCCCTGCCCAGAGGTGCCACTCCCGCGTTGGCCACATCTGGGCAGGCATGGGGCAGACACCCCACCGCAGAGATCCGCCAGCCAGAGCCACCATCCCTCAAGCTTCGGCCCCAGTGTGCACTGGGGATGGCAAAGGCGACATTGGTGCTGCAGCAGCTGCTCAGTTAGGGTAAGTCTTGCTGGATGCGGGTTCCCGCACTTGCCAGCGCAAAGGTGGCCCAGAATGCCAAGCGGGGGAGCCCTGGCTTTGAGAAGCACCTTTCTGCTTGCTCTGGGCAGTGGCCTGTGGTCACTGGCCACCTGGCCTTGGCTGGGAGTACACTGGCTATGGGCGACGTGCAGGGCACGTTTGGCAGGAGCAGGCACCAGCCAGCAACTGGGTTGGTGCCCAGAACCCAGCACAGCTGGGAGTTCCCAACATGGTTGTCCCAAGCACTGGGCTGCACTAAGGCTGGGGATGCAGTGGGGAGACCACTGCAGGGACCTCAGGAGCTGTCGCATGGCAGGGAGAGGCCCCAGTCAAGACCCTGTGTCATGATTTCTTCCACATGTGTGTGGCAATGTGTGGGGGACTGTCCAGTGGCTGCCAGCCAGGGAGTGTGTCCTGGTCCCAGCCACAGGGGACCAGGGCAGTGGGGTCATCTCTCCCTGCAGGGGCCTGAGGGCCATGACACAGGCACTGCACCCCTGGGGGCTGAGAGGGGTAAGAAGATTCCTGGTCTCCCAGAGCCCACCTGACTCCCACATCAAAGTGGAAGCCAGGCTGTGGCTTGGGAATGAAGGATGCTGTGCCCCCAGAGGCAGGCTCCACTTCCCCCAGGGGACCTTGGAGGATGAGCCCCCTCCTGACCCAGGCTTGAGGATACTTGGCAGCCCCTGGGGTCCTGCCTTTTCTCCCAGCCTTGGTCTCCCTCCCGGAGTTTTTGGCTGCAGTGGTGAGGGGTCATTTCTCAGCTCCTGTTCAAAAGCAGAGAATAATCAGGGACACATCCTATTGTATGTAGAGATATGATTGGGTCTGATAGAGTGGTTCACGTTTGTAATCCCAGCACTTTGGGAGGTTGAGGCAGAAGGATCACTTGAGCCCAGGAGTTTAAGACCAATCTGGACAACATGACAAACCACATCTCTACAAAAAATACAAAAATTAGCCAGGTGTGGTGATGTGCTCCTGTAGTCCTAGATTCTCAGGAGACTGAGGTGGCAGGATTGCTTTAGCCTGGCAGGTTGAGGCTGCAATGAGCCATGATTGTGCTACTGCATTCCATCTAGGTAACAGAGTAAGACCCTGTCACACACACAAACACACACACACACACACACACACACACAAACTAAACCAAAACAAAAATTATGGTTCCAACAAGCCTTAGAAATGCCCCAGCTTGGCCAGTGTGGCGGCTCAAGCCTGTAATCTCAGCACTTTGGGAGGCCAAGCCAGGAAGATCACCTGAGGTCAGGAGTTTGAAACCAGCCTGGCTAACATGGTGAAATCCTGTCTTTACTGAAAATACAAAATTTAACTGGGCATACTGGTGGGTGCCTATAATCCCAGTTACTCAGAAGGCTGAATTAAGAGAATGGACTGAACCTGGGAGGTGGAGGTTGCAGTGAGCCAAGATCTCGCTACTGTACTCCAGGCTGGGCAACAGAGTGAGACTCCATCTCAAAAAAAAAAAGAAAAGAAAGAAATGCTCCAGCTTAGTAACACACACACCCATGAGACAGTACCCAATATGATCTCAAAACACAACTTGGGCATTAGGCTGGAGCCCATTTTCCCTGCTGGAATCTCTAACATTGTAGCCCAATGTTAGAGAGGGTCAGTGCCCCATGGGTTGTAGGGTCCAGCCCTACAGTGTTCTGTGAGACCCTCCCTGCTGGTGCAGAGATGAGAAATTGTAGAATTAAAAGACACAAGACACAGAGATAGAGAAAAGAGAGTTTGGGCCCAGGGGTCCACTGCTACCCAAATCTCGAAGACCAGTAGCCTGGAATGCCTGGATGCTCTCACTTTTATTGAGTTGCAAATCTGGGGGCAGGGAAGGTAGAGCATAGGTAGGGCGTGGCCTTGGTGGGGCAGGGTAAAATAGGGTGTGGCATACAGGTGGGGGCTCAGGAATTTCTGGCACCCGAAGTGAGGTAAGGAGTATAATGCATCAGCCCTTTTTTCATACTTATTAAGAAAGAACTAAAACATTAAGATTTATATTACTATTACCGATTATCTTTTCTAAGACAGAAGAAACCAGGTGCAGAAGCAGAACCTGAGAGTGGACATGGAATGTGACCACTGAAGCACAGCATCACATAGAGACAATTAAGCCCCTGGATGTCTGTGGGCCTCCCTGACAGCATCAGGCCACCACAAGAGCCTGGAGAAGCAGAGTTTTCTCCTAACTCCTCTGGGGAGGGACATGTCTCAGTCATATTGGACGTCTCCTTCCCTAGCTGGCTAAACAGTGGGCGCTTTCCCAGCACTGACGCTGCCGCACAGCCCAGGTGCCCTCCAGCAGCCCTTATGCGGGGGTGACAGAGGACTTAGAGAATCTTGCCTAGTGTCATTCATTTCACAATATCACCCCAGGTTCACACATCCAACCTGAGAGGCATCAGTAAAAGAATTAAGATCACCGGAGGACGACGGACAGCAGCGGCCAAGCAAGAAGAAAGACATGGCAGCAAGCAGGAGTCAGGGATAGTGTCATCCGTTCGGTAAAGTTTCTGTTCTCTGATTTGGGATATTCCCTGCCAAAAAAATTCATGGAAAATTCACTAATATTAAGTGCGTAATAGATTGGAACTCATTGAAGACACAGACGTTCCTGTTGAGAGCAACCAGCTAATGATTACAGTTGAAAGACAATTTCTGTGATTGAGTTGTCATTTGGAAGATTAAACCCATTTCATGAGGACTTGGAGCCTGGTCTTTGCTTTGAGGAAGCAGTGGCTTGTTACCAAAAGTCACTTCTGATCTAAGACTCTACCTGGCATGCCTAATCAAGGAGAAGACTGCTATTTTTTTTCTATTCTACATGTACCAAAGGTGACAGCTGCCCATTCTGTCACTGTGAAGTTGCATTAGGAAATGAAACTGTTTGCACATTATGGCAAGAAAGGCGCTGTTTTCGACAGGTGTGCAGGTTTCGCCACATGGAGATTGATAAAAAACGCAGTGAAATTCCTTGTTATTGGGAAAATCACCCAACGGGATGTCAAAAATTAAACTGTGCTTTTCATCACAATAGAGGACGATATGTTGATGGCCTTTTCCTACCTGAGCAAAACTGTGTTGCCCACTGTGCTTGAGTCACCAGAAGAGGAAGTGAAGGCTAACCAACTCTCAGTTCAGCAGAACAAATTGTCTGTTCAGTCCAATCCTTCCCCTCAGCTGTGGAGTGTTTTGAAAGTAGAAAGTTCGGAAAATGTTCCTAGCCCCACGAATCCACCAGTTGTAATTAATGCTGCAGATGATGATGATGATGATATGATGATGATCAGTTTTCTGAGGAAGGCGATGAAACCAAAACACCTACCCTGCGACCGACTCCTGAAGTTCACAACGGATTACGAGTGACTTCTGCCCGGAAACCTGCAGTCAATCTGAAGCAAGGTGAATGTTTGAATTTTGGAATAAAAACTCTTGAGGAAATTAAGTCAAAGAAAATGAAGGAAAAATCTAAGAAGCAAGGTGAGGGTTCTTCAGGAGTTTCCAGTCTTTTACTCCATCCTGAGCCCATTCCAGGTCCTGAAAAGGAAAATGTTAGGACTGTGGTGAGGACAGTAACTCTCCAGCAAACAAGGAGAATAACCCTTGGTTAGATTGAGTCTTACTGAGAGACTGGGGAAATGAAAATTTTCAGCAGGTGGTGACAGTGATCCTCCATTAAAGCGTAGCCTGGCACAGAGGCTAGGGAAGAAGGTTGAAGCTCCAGAAACGAACATTGACAAAACACCAAAGAAAGCTCAAGTTTCCAAGTCTCTGAAGGAGCGATTTGGACCATGTCAGCTGGTCCAAATAATGAGGAGGCAACAGAGAAAGTTAATAAAGTTGGTGAGATCCATGTGAAGACCATTAGAAGAAATTCTTCTTGAAAGAGCCAGTCAGAAACGTGGAGAATTGCAAACTAAACTCAAGGAAAGAACCTTCAAAAACTGAAGATTCTACTTCAGGTACAAGAAGCTCCTCCACTATCCGTATCAAAACCTTCTCTGAGGTCCTGGCTGAAAAAAAACATTGGCAGCAGGAAGCAGAGAGACAAAAAAGCAAAAAGGATGCAACTTGCATCAAGCTAAAGACTGATAGTGAAATTAAAAAAACAGTAGTTTTCCCACCCATTGTTGCCAGCAAAGGGCAATCAGAGGAGCCTGAAGGTAAAACAAAGTCTTTGCAGGAGGTGCACATCAAGACACTGGAGGAAATTAAACTGGAGAAGGCACTGAGGGTGCAGCAGAGGTCTGAGGGCAGCACCAGTTCCCCGTCTCAACATGAGGCCACTCCAGGGGCAAGGCAGCTGCTGCGAATCACCAAAAAAAAAAACGGATAAAAGAAGAGAAGAAATTTCAGGAAGGAAATGAAGTTGATTCTCAGAGCAGTAATAGAACAGAAGTTAAAGAGCCTTCAGGTGAGACCACAGGAATTGACATTACTAAAATTCAAGTCAAGCGATGTGAGACCATGAGAGAGAAACACATACAGAAACAGCAGGAGAGGGAAAAATCCGTCTTGACACCTCTTTGGGGGAGATGTAGGCTCTTGCAATACCTAAGTGGCAGAGAAACCACTGTTCACTGCTGTGCCAGGAGCCACACGGCACCTAACCAAGCGGCTTCCCACTTGGTCATCCCAGAAGGTAGAGGTAGAAACCTCAGGGACTGGAGACTCAGTATTGAATGTGAAATGTGCAGAAAAAACCTTGAAAAAAAGGGGTAAAGCTAACCCCAAAGTGAATGTGAAGCCATCTGTGGTTAAAGTTGTGTCATCCCCCAAACTGGCCCCAAAACGTAAGGCAGTGGAGATGCACCCTGCTGTCATTGCTGCTGTGAAGCCACTGAGCTCTAGCAGTGTCCTACAGGAAATCCCAGCCAAAAAAGCAGCTGTGGCTGTTGTCCCGCTCATCTCTGAGGACAAATCAGCCACTGTGCCTGAAGCAGGAAATCCTAGAGACAGTCTTGGCTGGCCTCCAACCCAGTCCTCTTCAGATCCTTCACGCCTGGAGGTGTCTGGCCCTTCCTCATCTCAAATGAGCATGAAAACTCACCGACTCAGCTCTGCCTCAACAGGAAAACCCCCACTCTCTGTGGAGGATGATTTTGAGAAACTAATATGGGAGATTTCAGAAGGCAAATTGGAAGCCAAGATTGACCTGGATCCTGAGATGGATGAAGATGACCTTCTGCTTGAGCTGTCAGAAATGATTGATAGCTGAAGGTGGTAGTGAGGACACTTAAAAAAAAACTCACCAAAAAACTGGACTTAGTTTCATCTATTATAACATTTACCTGAGAGGATCATTTCTTTAGTCTAGAATTTGCCCCAAATCAGAAGTATACCTCTGAATTATCTGTATGTGTCCTGGATTCCTTGGGGTCAGATTTTTAAAGTTACTTTATAACCATTTTGTCCATTTGATGCCATTGTTTATCATCTTTTGAGAAAAAAGTTCTGTCATACCCGTCTCTCCACAAAAAAGAGCCTGAGAGGGAGATCCACGTGAAAGGGTACAAGCGAATTGAGTGACTCCTTGAGGTGTTTGTCAGTTTTGGCTTTTTTCTCCTTTGTTGTATTCTTTATGTGTTGTCTTGATGTACTTAATATTACCTGAGTTTGAAATGGATGAAGACAGCTGCTACCATTAAGGACCAAATTTTATGCTACCACTAAACAAAAATACCCACTCAGTCTGTGTGAAATTGTATGTCTTTTTAAAGGTATTTAGAGATTCAACTAAGATTTAAAGAGGGCTGAGCAGCCCAGGAAGCCTGTAATGTGGGCATAACTCTTTGGACCCGATTTTGATGCTTCTGCTGCTCTGTTAGCCTCTGAAGAGCAATATCTAATTTATTATTGCTGTAATTTTTAAAAAGCCTTTAAAGTGCCTCAGGGGTCCCCTGAAACTAATTTTCTATTTCTGGGATTCCCTGGATTCATTATATGAGATGGTGACATGATTAGAGGAATTCTTTTTTAGTATTCCTTGTCCCTTCTTCAGTACTTGCCTCCTTACTGGCATTGAATTAACACAGGGACAAAATTTGGTTAATTTTTTATTTCTAACTCTCCCAACAAACTCCTGTTGCCCAGTATTTATTTGGTGGCCTTTGATCACCTGAGGGAAAAAACGAGCTTATTCAAGTTGCCAATATTTATCTGTGGGCTGTAGCAGTACACTGAATTGTGCTGTGCCAGGGATATTGAGATGCTCTGGGGGTGTACTGTATATCTGCCAGTTTTCTTCATTTCTGAATTGAGTTTCCTTTTCTTGATGTTGATTTCCTTCATGTCACCTCAAGGTTTAGATTTGTGAAGGAATAAGCATGATGGGAATAATAGTCTTGAAAAGAGATATGTCGTATATAATCAGAAGGAGGAGGAAGGAAGGACTTGTCCATTTTGCTCTTTTGCTCTAGGTGGCCAGTTTTGTTTCTCATAGGGAAATCTGACCCATCTGTCATGCTGGCTCCTAAGGAACTGCTGTTGTAAGTGGCTCATCAAGAGTTGAACTTCACGTAGCTTTGTTGGGAATATGGAAAAGGAAGAAAGCCACAGGACTGACCATTCAGTCTTGGGAAGATCCGGATCATCCTGCACAGCAAAAAAGACTTGAAATTAATGTATAGACATACCTCTGCCACTCCATCTTCAGCTGACTGAATGTCGTGTGATAGCCCTTCTCCAAAGCAGGAGTAGAATGTTCAGGTTTCACCACAGATTTTCTACTTATTTCATTTTTGGACTCAGCTTACAGATTCCAGGTCCCTTTTGTATCTATTCTTTATTCTTTTCCTTTTTAAAAAAAAAATAATTTTGTTTCATATTTAAAGCACTTGTATTAGTCAGTGTTTTGTGTTTTGCATTATTTGAACCATTTGCCCTTTCAGAAAGAGAAATACTTGTTTGTGTTTTAAATAAAACTGATGTAGGGAAAAAAAAGAATTAAGATCACCTATGACTAAGATTACCTATCAATAGCTAATAACTACTACAACTACATTTCTTGTTACTTTCCTCTTCATTATCTATATGGAAATAGGCTAAGGCTTTTGGCTCCTGCCTTGGCACTTATGGGGTCTTTTCCCCATAACAGGCTGCCCCCATGATGGGCTGTCCCAGTGTCTGAGCCAGTGTGAGTGTGAGTGGCAATGGTCTCCACAGACACACACACGGCATATGGAAAAGAGAATGGAAGGACAGACAGTAGGTGCTAAATAGAGATTATCTTTAAATGGGAGGAAAACTGCATATTTTCAGAGCTTTGTTTCATTGTCTTAAAGACAAAGGGTTAGTGAATAAATAGAATATTTTGGTTAGAATTAAATCTTCCGTTTAAAGAAAAGTTGCTTTTTGTCAAGTAGAAACCCTCTAGGAGGATGATATTCACAGCAGCAGCAGCACAGGTGTATTCTAGAGAGGAAATGACCATGGAAGGGCTCAGGAAGGGAGGGCAAGTGAGCTCAGGTCAGATTAGGAGGCAGGAGACCTGAGAGGCAGCAGGGACACACCCCCTGCCCTGAGTGATGTGTCCTTTTCGAGATGGGCTATTTCACGTTGATGAGGCAGCCTGGGCTATAAAGACTTTCCTCCCTGCTCCCCTGCACCTGCTGCCCTTTGTCCACACCCACAACTAACAGTGGCCCCTGCATTGTTAATGAGCAACACCACCGTGGTGCTGACGATCACTCTGTGTCCTAGTTCCCACTGAGGATCCCCAGGAAGACCTCACCAATGAGCTCAGATGAGGCTGCCCCATGGCATTTGAAGGTCAGGACACCTGGTTTTGTCTGAGAAAAAGTTACTTTCTTAGCTTTATCTTAATGAATTAAAATAAAATATGATCATATGTATCATAAGTGACTTATACAGTGTCCTTGCGGGAGGAATGCTGAGTGAGAGTCTGTTCCCCACTGAAGCTTGATTTAAGACAGGAGGAAACTGGCCGGGCATGGTGGCTCAAGCCTGTAATCCCAGCACTTTGGGAGGCCGAGGTGGGTGGATCACAAGGTCAAGAGATTGAGACCATCCTGGTCAACATGGTGAAACCCTGTCTCTACTAAAAATACAAAAAATTAGCTGGACATGGTGGCGCGTGCCTGTAATCGCAGCTACTCAGGAGGCTGAGGCAGGAGAATTGCCTGAACCCAGGAGGCGGAGGTTGCGGTGAGCCGAGATCGCGCCATTGCACTCCAGCCTGGGTAACAAGAGCGAAACTCCGTCTCAAAAAAAAAAAAAAAAAGACAGAGGAAAAAATGGCAGCACCAGCCACGCACTGAGTGGCAGTGAGCTTCCTCCTCAACAGCTTGATTCTCTCCTTGAGACAAGATCACTTCACCACTAAGCCACATGACTTTGAGAGGAAACATCCTCCAGAAAAACTTCAGCATTAGTCATTTGTCCTGTTCTTCTTCTGTGTTCTTTTGACTTGAATGCTGTTTCCCATCTGCTTTTCTAATGTCACCAAGTGAAGAAAACACCTGTGCACTTGGGACTCAGGGTGGTCTGTAGCTCATGGTGTTTTTCTTTCTCTCAATGCAGGTTGAGGAACCCACCAAAGAAAAGGGTGTGTATTCTGAAGCATTCCTTTGGTAAGGAAAGATCTTCAGTGTAGCAAACAGTCACAGTTCCTAGCTTCTGTCCTCCTAGTGCCCACTGAGGATCCCCTGGAAGACATCCACAATCTCTGCTCACTGGAACCCGCACCTCCTGGGGAACCACTTTTGCTGGAGGGCCGCTTTGCTTTGAGCTTCCTGACAGAAAGGAGATTTGGACAGTTTGGTGTAAAAACACTGAGCCCATCCAGTAAAGAACGATGACCATCCCCTCGAGTCCCTGGAGGCAGAATTGCCATTTAGATGGAATAGGGTGGTGTGCCTCAGGGCGATGAGGTATGGAGGAGACAGCCGTGTGGAGTGATTGGGAATGTCTTTGGGAGTGTATGCGCATTTTCCCAGAAAATTCAGAAAAACTGTCTAAAACATTGTGTCACTACTGCACACTTCACATAAATTAACCCATTCATCCTCCACCACAGCTGTACCTCAAGGTAAACAAAGGTAAATGTTATATCCTCACTCCTCAGATAGAGATGGTGCAGAGATGAATTTCCCAGGCTCTCGATCTAAATGGAAGAGGCAGATGTGAACTCAGGAATGGGTGGAGGGTGAATGCAATAGACTACTATTGTCTCGATCTAAATGGAAGAGGCAGATGTGAACTCAGGAATGGGTGGAGGGTGGATGCAATAGACTACTATTGTGCATTCACAAGCCAGCCCTGGTATAACTCATCATTATGCCAGGGAGTTTTGGCATTATGTGTGCATGTGGAAATATGATAACTTAGAGAGGTCCCAAACATTTGTCATTGTAGGGAGGTCTCAAAGGTTGCCTAACCCAGGGTAGGAATAGGTACATTTTACAATGGACTTTGCTGTGGTCATTAATGTGAAACACACAGAGCACTCACGGGATTTTGGCAGCAGTGGTGGGATCATTTCTCAGCTCATGGTCAAAAGCAGAGAATAATCATACTCTACTGTGTTTAATAACAAGATCATCATAGGCCTTAGAAATGCTCCAGTTGGCCAGGCAAGTGATTTATGCCTGTAATCCTAGCACTTTGGGAGGCTGAGGCAAGTGGATTACTTGAGTCCAGGAATTGGAGATCAGCCTAGGCAACATGGTGAAACCCCATATCTACTAAAAAAAAAAAAAGAATAGCTGGGTGTGGTGGTGCATCTGTAGTCCCAGCTACCTGGGAGTCTTGGTGGGGAGGATCACTTGAGCCCAGGAGGCATGGGTTCCAATGAGCAGAGATTATGCCACTACACTCCAGCCTGGATGACAGAGACCCTTTATTAAAATAACAATAATAATGCTTTAGTTGAGGAGTAAACACAGTGAAGACTCAGCACCGAATATAATCTCAAGGAACAACTTGAGTGCTGCCTCCCACCCATCTACCCTGCAGGAACCTCCTGCACAGCTGGGATGGAGAGGGTCAGCACCCTCACCTGCTGCCCCCATGACGGGCTGTCCCAGTGTCAGAGCCAGTGTTTGTGAGCAGCAACAGACTCCCGACACATGCAGACATTGCGTTGAGAAGGTTGAGTGCAAGGACAGATAACACTTGCTACATAGGAGTTATCTTTAAGTGAGATAATAATTGAGTATTTTCAAAATTTTGTTTTATTGTCTTTAAAACAAAAGATTAGTGAATATATAGAATATTTTGGCTAGAATGAGATGTTCTCCCTGAACAAAGGTTGCTTTTTACCAAGTATAAAATATTCTAGAATGACTGATACACATGGCAGCAGCACAAGTGGATTTTAGGGAAGCAGCAGCATGATTTTTTCCTGCTGTCTGAAATCGAGCTTCAGTGGGGAACAGACTGTCACTCAGAATTCCCCCATCCAAGGATACTGTATGAGTTGTCTATAATACATACAGTCGGAGTCTCATCTCTTAGGCTCATTCAGAAAGATGAAGCTTGGAAAGCAACTGTATTCCTCAGACAAATGCAGGGGGTCTGGCCTTCACGTGACATACAGCCTCCTTTTCCTTGTCATTGTGAAGTTCCTTTACTGGATCCTCCATGGGAACTAGGAGGACAAAGAGTGACCATCAGCACCTTGGCAGTGGTGCTCATCAATGATTCAGGGGCACTGCTTGACATGGGTGTGGCCTCAGTGGGGAAAAGACTTTCACTAAGAATTCCCCTGCGAAACCCCTGAATGAGTCACCTGTGATACTATGGTTAGATTCCCATATCTTACTTAAATTCAAAAAGATAAAGAGACCTTTTCTCTGACCAAACCAGGTGGCCTGACCTCTGACTGTTGTTGTGGGTCATTCTCATGTGAGATATCACAGATGAACTCTTCCACTAGGGTATATTCTGTTGGAACTAGGAAGATAGAGTGACTGTCAGCAGGTACAGGGGAGGAGCAGGGGAAAATGACAGCATCAACCACACACTGTGGGCCAGTGAGCAATTTCCTTAGCAGCTCAATTTTCTCCTTGGAACAGAATCACTTAATTGCCAAGCAACATGGACTTAGAGGAAACATCCTCCAAGAAAAACTCACGTCTTTAGCATGAGTTGGCTTGTTCTGTTCTTTTGTGTTCCTTTGACTTGAGCACTGTTTCCCATCTGGTTTTCTAATGTCACCAAGTGAAGAAAAGACCTGTGCACATAGGACACCACAGGGTCTGATGTTCACAGCAATATGTTTTCTTTTATTAACGAAAACCTCAAGAGTCAAGAAGGATATGGGGGAATCCCTCCTGTGTGGATGAATAATCCAGATGATGAGGAATGTGTGTCTCGCTGGCTTTGCTGTAGACAGGCAGCCAGAGTTGAGCTTCCTGTTGTGAATGGGGACCTAGGCTGTGATGGGAGAAGTGGTTGCTCCAGATAAGGATCGATGGGCACATTCTGCGGTCCCTGAGAGCAGCTGCATTATCTGGATGTGGGCTGGGGTTGTGTGCACGGGGCTGGTGTGTGTTGGCCGAGGTTGATGTATCCCAGAATCCCGTTTAACTGGAGGAGTCTCACAGCCCCTGGCCAGGGCAGCTGTGTCACACTAGTTGCAGCAGAGGTGGGAGGGGAGCCAGTTCCAGTGCAGGGTGAGCTCAGCAAAGGGAGGGGCTGCCCCAGAGCCCAGGTGTTCCTTGCACATCTCCCTTCTGACCTATAAGACATCACTTTGCTGGTTTCTGAGATAGGCTTGGAATCATCAGTCCCAAAGTCTGTGATCCCTTTACCCATGGGTAAAGGGATCCTGGCCATGGCCCATCAGTGAGGGCAGGGGTCGTGTCCTACTTGTTCCCTCTCATTCCATATCTCAGCCCTGGGCAGCCCATCTTGGGTGCCCCAGTGATGTTCTGAGGCACACAACCCTGTACTGAGAAAGCACGAGTGTGAAAAGGCTTCCTGCTCACCCTCTGCACTCTGCTGAGTCCCACACGAATGCAGGTTCCTGTGTGGGTTCTGATTCAGGGTCAGGGAGAAGTGCGTGGGCTCCCCTCTGTGTTTGCTGCTGTTGTCCCGTCTGCTCCTGAAGTCTGCAACTAAGGATTAAAATAATAAATATTGTGAATAGCTCACCATCATGGCTTAAAGTCCAATAAAATGGATGTTAACTGCCGTAGGAGCATAGGTTTATTTAGGAAAGTTAAGTGATATAGTAACCTTTTTATAAAAAAGAGGACACTTACCAGGCCTCTTTCTGTGCAGAGACCCTGTCCTGGAGTCATGCCCTGCACTTGTGTGCTGCCTCTGTGAACACTGCCTACTTCACAGTGATGACGGTGCCTTAGCCAGAGACCCGAGGCTCTGTCCCCCAGGGCTCTCCTGATGGTGTCCTTTGTCTTCCTTCACCACCAAGGAGGGTGGCCCAGCAGCAGCTCAGCCCCTGCTCCTACCCCACCTCCTTCGTACAGCAGTCCTGTGTCCTCGGCACCCAGGGCTGCCAGAGGGCCTTCAGCAGCTCCCATGGCTGACAGTGACTCTACATTTCCTAGGTTTCCAGAATGACCTGGTAGGGGAGTGGACCGGAGAGACTTCCTCAGAACAAGTTCCAGCTGGTCACTTGGTAAAGTCTTTGTCTGAGATGGGAATTTCATTTCTTTTGACCTCAGTGATGTCACCGTAAAATGTTCAAATAAACTCGTGCCACACTATGGTGTCCAGCTGCTTCTATCTAGACCAATTTCTTTTGGTTGCAAATTCTACCTTCTTTTTAAAAGACAGCATTTCTCCTGAGGAAAATGCTCTCTGCCTTGCAGTCTGTCCCTGAAGCTGTCATCTATGGGTGCCATCTGGAACCAGTTCCAAGTTGGTAATGGGCTCTCACATACCTTTGCCCACCAATAAACTCTGTGGATCATCTATAATGTCCATGGTGAGATTTGCATATCTTAATTCAAATGAAATAGAAAGAAATCAAAAGATGGAGACCTTGTCTACGGCCACACCACCCTGAATGCACCCGATCTCATCTCATGATGTAGGCCTCGCCTTCTGTTTCAGCTGCCACTCTGCGAACTGCCATTTCACACTGTACATAGCTGGGAGACTACTAGTCAAGATGGGAGGCAGCCTTTGCTCCTGCCTTGAAGCTATGTTCATTTCCATCTTCTCGCTGCAGTTTCTTCAGATGGGCCACTTGTACTTAAAATGTCTCTCTAATTTTTTTATTTCCCCCAATTTTTATTTCCAGATTATCTACAGATGTACACATTTTAGAGTTTTATGACTCAATTTGTATTCTTGATTTTTCTATCAAGAATACAAAGATTTTTCTATCAAGATTTTTGCCTTAAATATTTCTATTTAGAAAAATGTCCTCCAGTTTCCCATGCCAATTTTATGCACACTTTTCCATAGAATAAATCCAGAAGAAACAACCCTGCCTTCATCAGATCGGGAGAATCTTGATACCAAGTGCAGTATGAGACAGCCCATGAGAGGGGATTACAGACCAAAGTCTTCTGAGTCGAGGCATCCAAATCTGAAACCAAATATTAGAGCAGGCTAAATAGAGATTTCTAAAAACAAGTCATTTCATGATTTGAAACAGAATTTGGCCTAGTTTAAAGGTTTTGGGGATTGTTTTAAAGAAAATCTTAAGGGATAAATACAACTAAATGAATATAAATAGTTATAAAATAGAAAAAATATGAGGTTATAAAGGGGGCTTATGAAATTCTTATTATGAACCTCTTGTAAGAGTTTTGCCATCTTGGCCAGGCTGGTCTTGAACTCCTGACCTCAGGTGATCCACCCACCTTAGCCTCCCAAAGTGCTAGGATTACAGGCGTGAGCCACTGTGCTCAGTCACATAACCTCATAATTTGGCCGGGCGCGGTAGCTCAAGCCTATAATCCCAGCACTTTGGGAGGCCGAGGTGGGTGGATCACGAGGTCAAGAGATCGAGACCATCCTGATCAACACGGTGAAACCCCGTCTCTACTAAAAATACAAAAAAGTTAGCTGGGCATGGTGGCGCGTGCCTGTAATCCCAGCTACTCAGGAGACTGAGGCAGGAGAATTGCCTGAACCCAGGAGGCGGAGGTTGCAGTGAGCCGAGATCGCGCCCTTGCACTCCAGCCTGGGTAGCAAGAGCGAAACTCTGTCTCAAAAAAAAACTCATAATTTCTAATCCCAATATAAACTGATTGGGATAGATTTGTTTATAATATCATTATTAAAATTAGCTACAATATTAAACATACACGAATATAAAACTAAAATTTTGGTTAAAAAGTATGCTCTTAAGATATTAATTTGTTCTCAATGAGAATATAAGAAGTAACAATTTTGTATTCTAAAATATATTTCTTTGTAAAACTTCTCAGACTTACGCATTTTGACTTTTACTGTGTCTCTTTACATGAAATTTGCAGGTCCCACATCATTGTCTTCTGTTTCTTTTTATCTGGGAAAGATGTATCTTTATACTTGTTTGGGATAAGAACTCTCCTCCTTTTTTTTTTTTTTGAGACAGAGTCTCCCTTTGTCGCCCAGGCTGAAGTGCAATGGCACAATCTTGGCTTATGGCTCACTGCAACCTCCACCTGCAGGGTTCAAGTGATTCTCCTGCCCTCAGCCTCCTGAGTAGCTGGGATTACAGACACCCACCACTATCTCTGGCTAATTTTGTTTGTTTATTTGCTTTTTAGTACAGATGGAGTTTCACTATGTTGGCCAGGCTGGTTTTGAACTCCTCATCTCAAATGATCCGCCCGTCTCAGCCTCCCAAAGTGCTGGGATTACAGGCATGAACCACCACGCGTGACCTCTCCTTCAAATTTTCATCAGCTCCTTCAACTCCTCCCAGGTTCTAATTCTGTCACTATAATACCAAAATGCTTGCCTTTAAGGTCTAAGAAGTCAGTATTTGTCTCAGCTGTTCATGGTTTTGTGCTCTTGGCTTTTGCTGTGTCTGGGTTGTGTCCTGTGAGCAGGCGAGGAGCTAACTTTCTGCTCATAGCCCTCTTCCTCACCGCACCTGCTAATGGCCCTGGGCACACTTTACCTGTGTCTCATTAACCTCAAGGGCCCTGGTCGTCAGCATGGCTTCCAGTCATTCAGTGGTCTTCACTGAGGTGCTGCCCACTCTCAGGCAGGCCTCGGTGCAGCCTGCTCAGGCAGCTGCTCAGGTCAGCCGTCAGCAAGATGGATGGGTCCTAGATTTAATTCATCAAACCACTGATGCACCAGCCCTGATGGCACATTTTCAGTTAACTTCTGTTAGCTGCCCGTGCAGAGTTGGTCAGTTGAAGGAAAGTTTATTCCTGGCACAGCTGTTAAGTGGCAGTTGGCTTGGAATGTCCTGAGTTCTGAGCCAGCTTGGGGGCCAAGCAAACCCCTGGTCCCTCAGGGTGGTCACTGGTCATGTGCTCACTGCAAAGGTCAGGGGCCAGAGGTTTCTGTTTGAATGACTGGAGCTCTTCTCTGGACTTAGCCACCTCCCAGCATCCTCCTTCCTGAAGAGACCCTGGGGAGGAGGCTTGAGAAAGGGAGTGAAAAGAGCTCCTGGTTCAGGGTCCAGGCCGGGACTTAGGGGTCTCAGGTGTTCAGGGACCTCTGTCCCGGAGCATCATCTACATTCTTGTCCTAGATCCTTCACTCCTGAGTGCTGTGACTCTAGGCAGGTCACTTCAAATCCCTCATTTCACGTTCCTGAGCTGTCAACTGTGGGTGGCGGCCCCTGCCCTGCCCATCCCTCTAGGCTGATGTGGGCATCTCAGGAAATAACAGATCCTGTCCATGAGCTCTAAAGCATCAGGCCCATGTGAAACAGGAAGAAAATCCCATCCTCCACTGCCCTGGTGCCCCCAAGCACCTTCTCTATATTAATCACCACCAACAGTCGGATTTCTTTTTTTTTTTGAGGGGAAGTCTTGCTCTTGTTGCCCAGGCTGGAGTGTAATGGCATGATCTCAGCTCACTGCAACCTCTGACTCCCAGGTTCAAGCAATTCTCCTGCCTCAGCTGCCTCAGCCTCCCAAGTAGCTGGGATTATAGGCGCCCACCCCCAGGCCCAGTTAATTTTCTGTATTTTTAGTAAAGACGGGTCTCACCATATTGGCCAGGCTGGTCTTGACCTCTTGACCTCAGGTAATCAGCCAACCTGGGCCTCCCAAAGTGCTAGGATTGCAGGCGTGAGCCACGCGCCCGGCCAAATTGTATTTAGTGCCTCAGTCGCTTCATTTTAGGTTGACACAAGGCAGTTTGGAGAATTTTTCTTTAAACCAAATGGTTGTGATCCCCCTGACTCCCGCTGTCTCTCTGGCTCTCGGTGGCTCTGTCCCACAGGAAGTGGGCTTTAGACCTGGGTCCGGGATGGGGGAGGTTTCCACATAGCCTGGGGCCCAAGGAAATCATGCTCTGGGACTGGCCTCACTTAGATGGGGAGATGGGGAAGGCTTTCTTGCTCCGTCCTCTCCGGGAGTGAGGAAGGGGGTCCTGCACCTGAGAAGGAGGGAGGTAAAGACCCCAGGACTTCAGCAGGCAATGGCAGCTGCTTCTCCCCACCTCTGAAGCTTTATCACACTGTAGTAAAGGTCCTGTCTCAAGATCCAGGAAGCAGCTCCAGAGATTCTGGGAGACAGGGTTCTGGAGTCACCACTGGAACTAGGCAGCAAGCCATAGCCACTGAGGCCCCAAGGAGAGGTGGTAGGGGAAGGGGATCACAGCTGAGGACACCAGGCCCTGACCAGCAGTTTCCAAGAAGGGTGGTATGTTAGGAAAGAGGAGGAAGGTGGTCCCAGTTGAGGTGGCCCCCAGGGTACCTCTCCCACAACTTTCCTCCACCCAGACGACAAGTCACAGGGTGTACAGTTCGCAGCTGTCCCTTCCTAGCAGATTTGGAAACAAGAAAAGGTTTGAGATTGGCACCCAAAGGCAGTTGACCCAGGAAAAGGAGGAGGGCCACAGGGTGGTGTTGGCCAGTCTAAGCCCCTTGGAGGCTTCCTAAGATCCTTGGGGACCTGAAGCAAGGCCAGTGCCCACCTTTTTGCTGGGGAACAGATGCCCCAGGCCCAGAGGATTCCTCCTTCTTTTCATGCTATCACTTCTTATTTCCCGAGATGTCAGATACTCACAGGAGGAGCTTCGGGTCCTCCTCAGTGGCCCCCCGAAAGCCTGTGAAAAGATGAAGCAACTGGGGGAGGGTGCTGGTGGCACAGGTCATTGGCAGCCATCCCCCACTCCTGCCTGGCCCAGGGCTGCCACAGGACTGAACCAGTTCACCAAAGTTTAAAGGGTATACATGTGGGAAAGGGTTGGCAAAATGAGCCTGGGTAAAGGAAGGAGGGAGAAGAGCCAGTGCAGGAGAAAAAAAATCAGAGCAAAGGAGGCCAGAGGTGGGAAGGAAAGAGGCTGGTCTCCACCAGTCCTGGACCCAGGCTTTGGCCCTAATGACCTCTGACTTCCATTCTGCAAACAGATGGGAGTTTAAGTTCTGCCCTGTTTCTGGGGTCTGGGAAGGGGAACTCCTAGCCAGGCTCAGCCTGCTCAGAGACATGCAGGGATGGGAGCTGGGTTCTGGGTTCTCGGCTCTGAAAAACGGGAGGAGGTTGTGCCTGGGTCAGTGTGTCCCAGAGGAGTGGGCCTGGCCTCACTGGACACTGGACACTCAGCAGGTGGGGCTGAAGGAGAGATTAAAAATGAAAAAACAAACAAAAAACCCAAACCAAAACAAACATACACATACAAAACAGCCAGAGAACTGAGTTTACTTTTAGCCCCAAGGAAAACAATCCATTGGACCCAAGTCCCTTTAAAAACAAGGAACTCGCCAGGCACAGTGGCTCACGCCTGTAATCTCAGCACTTTGGGAGGCCAAGGTGGGTGGATCACCTGAGGTCAGCAGTTAAATACAAGCCTGGCCAACATGCTGAAATTCCATCTCTACTCAAAACAAAAATTAGCTGGGCATGGTAGCACACGCAGGTAATCCCAGCTACCTGGGAGGCTGAGGTAGGAGAATCACTTGAACCTGGGAGGCCAAGTTTGCAGTGAGCCAAGATCACATCACTCCATTCCAGCCTGGACAACAGAGTGAGACTCCATCTTGCAAACAAAAACAGAAAACCCAGAAACTCAAAGCCCCAGCAGCTACTCCTATCCCTCCCTTTCCCCAACTCTTGGCCTTTTCTGGGGAGAGGAATGGAGGCCGGGGAGCTCTCACCTGGACTCCTGGACCTTAATGCCTCTACTCTGCAGAGTTTTGATGTAGGTCTCCACTGGACCTCAATTTATCTAGGCATTGCTTTTAAAAAGAAGGTTGAAACCCATGGTCCACTGAACTTACTCTACAAAACCAAACCCCTGGTTCTGCTGACCCTGCTCACTTCCTTCCCTGTGGATCCTGAGCCCGTGCACCAATTTTTATTCATTACCCCAGGAAGGTTGATTGGATAAAGTTCAGGGGTTAAAAATAATTATGTTCTCAGTGGGAGGTTGTGTCTTGCCTGGAGGATACCTGCCCACAATCTCAGCTATAGCCTCCTTCCTGCTGCCTTTCCAGCTGGGCGGCCTGGCCCTCCAGGCTCTCTGCCCATCACCCTTGTCTATAGAGACACTTGCAGTAGGTGCAACCTCCAATGACTTCCTGCAGATTGGGTGAGGGGCTGCCCTTAACAGGGCTTTGCGGGGCCTGAGTTCACTTAGGCATCTGTGGGATTCTCTGCACTCCACTTTTGGGGGTGGGGTGGAGGTGAGCAATTGCCGGCACCCCTGCCCCTGCCTCAAGTCAAAGGAGTTTTCCCAACAGCTGTCAGGAGACCAAACCCAAGCAGCAGGCAGCAAAAGTAGGCTGTGACTTTCACCTTCCAGGCCAGTGTGTCCCAAGAGAGCACAGAGTGATGCTGCCGAACTCCAGCAGCATCACAGAGACTCCACTGACCTCAGTCTGTCTGACCTCACGGGTGCTCCTGGTTGCTCTTACAAAACAGAAAATCAGGCCCTGCCTGCAGATCTTGATCCTCAGATCACCTCGCCCAGGCACCTGAGGTTAGAATTGCAGGCAGAGGAAATCCTGAGCGCAGTAATCTCTGGAAATAACAGAAATGCCAGGGACAAGTCCAGATCCTCAACAACTATGAAATTGAGAAAGCTCAAGCAGAAATTTCCAGGGAACCAGGTTCCAGCCGTGTGCCAGGGCTGGGGATAGAAAACAGACCAGGTCTGTCTGACAGGTTGAGCACATGGAGTGGGAAGAGGGGATCTGGAAGGCCAGGAGGGTGGAGGGAACTGCAGGGGGTGGGTGGTGGTGGGTGGGGCCGGGCTTCAGCCTCCTCCTCCCACTGCCCTGCCCACCCCACCCCCAGGAGCCCTTTGTGAGGGGGAGGCCCCAGCTCTGTGATGGGGGCTGGGTGTGTTAGTGATACAGGGCTGAGCCCCTGCCCCACTCCCTGGAAGATGCATTTCATCCTCTTTTCTGTGGGTAGCCTGGTGATCCTGACCTTCTTACGCCCCAGCATTCCCAGGGAACCGTCCTCAGGGCCTCCCAGAAAAAGGAACGGTGCCAAGGTAAGGAGCCCTCAGCCCACACCCAGCACAGAATGATTCTATTTTTCCTGCTCTTTTCCACTTTCCAAATCAACCAGAGGCTCCTGTGATGGGAAGTCTCATTATCCCTCTAGGGTCAGCAGGGCAGGCAGGGGTTGGAGTGGGTACAGCATTCCATCCCAAGCTCCCACACCATCTGTGGGGGTGCACGGGAGGCGTCAGGGCAAAAACAAACCCCGGGACTCAGCGGCAAGGACCCAACCATGAGAGGGGTGAGGTCTCTGGGAGGACAGGCCCTGAGCCCCAGCTCATCAGCCGCCCTCCTGCGCAGGTGCCTTGGGACCCAGCCTCTGTGTGGAGTGCTCTGGGGGCTGTGCGGAGCCCCTGAGAGCCTTTCACCTGAGACTGGAGTTGCCTTGGCCTCCTCGGAAGCAGAATCCTCCCTGCCAGCTCAGAGGCACCTGCAGGACACAAGTGTGTGTGTTTCCCAAGCAGGAGAACAGGCACTGAGGACGCCCAGGGCAGGTCTCATGCAGAAAACCCCTCTGTGCTGTTCAAAGAAGGAAACCAGAAAATGTTGTTATGCACTTTAGAAACAAGTGAAAGGAAAGAGAAGCACACAGGGCTCTGTGAGCTGAGAAAGTGTGTCATTCACGAGCACTACGGGTCTGCAGCTGTGGGGACAGGAGCCTGAGACCCAGCTGGGCCCTCACTCTTTCTGTCTCTCAGGGTCAAGCTGAAGTGAGGGGCTGGCTCAGGATCAGAAATAAAAAGATGGATCTAAAAGGTAAGGCTCTGAAGGTCCCAGGAACCCCCAGAGGTGACAGCTTCACCTGGCCCTAGGAACCAGCTCCATATCTCCAAGAAATTCATTTGCAGAGGCCTGAGGGGAAGCTCCTAGGAGGGAAATTGGAATCTGGGATTTCTCTCCATGGGATGAAGGCATGGGGGTCCAAGGAACAGGTGTTGCCCAGGAGGACAATATTGGGAAGGGCACCAGTGACTTCCTAGATGTGCAGGAAGGGCTCCAAGTCCATGTGGGCAGCTGTTTAACTCAGCTAAGGCTGAGTCCTCTTTGAGACTGCCCCTGTCCTCTCTGCCCAGGAGGTTGTCGTAACCCCCATGAGGAGGTGTGTTGGGAAGCACTTAGTAAATGACAAAGCACTGCCCACCGGGCACCTGGCTATCACACTTGGGCCATGTGACCTTTGATACTGATGCTGGAGCTCAAGCATCTAATCCTCTCCCTGGGGTCTCCCCTAAAGGCAAGTGCACTCAGCCTCCTGTAAGTCCCAGTTCCCTCCCTCGACACCATAACCCACTCCTGCTTTCCAGCTTGCCAAAGTCTCCTGAAGAACTGGAGAATGCTCAGGTCTACACTCTCCTACTGGAAAAGTGAGGCTCTTTCACCTTCTCCCTCGTGTCCTCCTTCCTACCAGGGCCTGGGGCTGATCTGGGAGGGGGAGGTCACAGCTGGGATGTCACTAAAGCCCTGGGGCAGGTGTAGGCAGAGCTTTGTAAAGTCAGCGTGGGGTCTCTGGAGGGGCGTGGGCCACGGGTTCGCAGTGCTCCCGGCTGCAGCCTGTGCCTCCTGTCTGCTGCCGGCGCCTGAGGAAGCTCCCTGGGGAGGGCAGCTCCCATCACCTTCCACACCAAGACCGATCAGGGCCAGTGTACAAATGAGCACCTGCTAAGAACCACTGGCCACGTGAGGGCATGGGAAAGCTTCCCCCACCAGCTTGTCCCCATAGGCTCCCCCAGCTCCTCTGGCCTCCATGCCATCACCAGACCTGAAGACCTCCATAGGGTCCTTTGAGTCCCTGTCAATCCTGAGCACCTCCCAGCCACCAGAGCCTTTGTGTCCCCTGAAGCACCCTTCACACCAGCCACATTTGGGTACCCTATTACCAAACCCAACCACCTCCATAAAATCCTTGGGGTCTCTGTCATCTCCGAGCTCCTCCCAGCCACCAGAGCCTTTGCATCCCCTGAAGCATCCTTCACACAAGCCACGTGGGCGTTCCCCTCCCCGACATCGGAACCCTGGCTGGGCGTCCTGGTCCGACTCCACCCAGGCTGATTCTCAAACTGACGCCACAACATGCCCAACGTGCAATGCCCCTGAGCGCTCCTCTCTACACAGCTGGTGGGTGCCTTTGCCTTCCAGCCCTCGCGTGATCCGAGGCGTTGGTTGCTGCAGTGATCCTGACCTGGACGTCTCCTGGAGCCAGGAGGCTGCTAGAGCCTAGTGCCTCTGCACCTCCTCACAGTGTCCATTCCAGTGCCCTAATCTTCCCACCTGCCTACCAAAGGCTTCCTTCGAGGGAGACCCCACATGCAGGCAGGGGAAGGCAGAGGTCCCACTTTCCTCAGCCTGGATGTGCCAAAGCTCCCAGACACACAAGACACCAAAATACCAGACACCACCTTGAACACCGCACATCCAACATCCACCAACAATTGGGACTCTCCCGAGGACAACTTGGAGGACCCCACAGATGCTGGAAACATGTGTTCTAATGGACTGGGAGAGGCAGAGATGGGGTCCAAATCTCCAGTCCCTGGAGCCGGTAAATTTCCTTGGGAGGCTTGGCCCACACAGAGACCTCTTCCACAGTGCTGCACACAGAGACCTCCCACTGCAATACAAAGGCCTCTGCCAGAGACCTCATGTCCATCCTTCCTTCTAGAGGATCCAAACTCACTTAGAAAATTGCCAGCATGGGAGGGATAACATCAGCTGTGCCCACCACCGGAGGACAAGACACTTTGGATCATTGTCAGCATTGCCCCCAAAATGGGCTCTTTGCTAGGGAAGAAGCTCAGGAATTGTTGCTCTTTTGCGATGCCATTCTCTCCTAACAGAACTGCAGATTCCATGTGTAGACTGCAAACTTCCGTTCTCCACAGGTTCCCACTAGCTCTACCCCGACCCACAGTTTAGAGAATCACAACTTTTTTTTTGTTTGTTTTTGTTTTCTGTAATTGAGAAAATGCTCTGTTGCCCAGGCTGGAAGGCAGTGGTACCATCTTGGCTCACCACAACCTCCACCTCCCAGATTCAAGCCATTCTCCTGCCTCAGCCTCCCAAATAGCTGGGATTACAGGCGCATGCCACCACACCCAGCTAATATTTTTAGTTTTAATAGAGACCGGGTTTCATCATGTTGGCCAGGCTTGTCTTAAACTCCTGACCTCAAATGATCTGCCTCCTTGGCCTCCCAAAGTGCTGGGATTACAGGCTTGGGCCAATGTGCCCAGCCAAATCATAAATTTTGAACCTCAAAAAATGCTGCCAACCTCCAATAAGATTGAAATATTTTCTTTGTCTAATTTTAATTATTGTCTAGTCAAATGGTATCAATGTCATATTTTAAAATTTCACTCGCAGCAAGGCCTGCACTAGAGAGGGGCGACTTCCTTTTTTTGGAAACATGATAAAGACCCACAGCAAGTGGACTCTAGAAATAAACCACCAGAGGCATGTGGGCTCACACTGGCCTCCAGGGGGCTATTTTACACATAACTGTGTCAGGTTTGTGAGACCTGATTTTTAAAATGAAGCAACAATCATATAAAGATTTTCAAACAAATGAGTCAGATATATGGCAGCATTTTTATTTTATCCTATGGCAAAATAATTCTTCCTAATTTTAATATTATTTTGTTCCTCAAAATGTAATACCTGCAAATGATATTATCCCTGTTTCCAGGATTTGACAAAGTCTTAATGTACAGCCAACATGACTTAGGCTGATGAAGTACTTAGAAGGATTCTATTTTTTTTTTTTTTTGAGACAGAGTCTCGCTCGGTCACCCAAACTAGAGTGCAGTGGCACGATCTCAGCTAACTGCAACCTTCGCCTCCCAAGTTCAGGTGATTCTCGTGCCTCGGCCTCTCCAGTAGCTGGGATTACAGACATGCACCACTGTACCCGGCACAATGAGTTGTGCAAAACTGTAAGGCACAGTGCGCACGAAAGCAACATTCCCATCAGCCGCTGCACCTGCAGCTACCATACATTACTGTAGATGATCTGTATGTCCAACTTCCAGGGTGACTTGTGCCTTTAATCTGGAAGAACTAAACAAGTGAGTCCAATCTATTACAAAAATACTGTCAAATTTCCAGACCTTTTTTTTCTTTTTTTTTTTTTTTTGAGACAGGATCTCACACTCAGGCTCGTGTGCCGTGCGCATCACAGTTAACTGTAGCCTTGACCTCCTGGGCGCAAATGATCCTCCCGCCTCAGTCTCCCAAGTAGTTGGGACCAACAGGTCTGTGCCATCATGCCTGGCCAATTTCTAGATTATCTTTGGTAGAGATCGTGTTGCCCAGGCTGGTCTTGATCTCCTGGCCTCAAGTGATCCTCCCACCTCAGCCTCCCAAAGTGTGGGATTACAGGCATGAGCCACCATGTCTGACCTTGGTTTTGAAATAGATTTTTATTTAAAACAGGTTTCATGCTGATTTCCATAAATCAGGCACTCCAGAACACAATGAATAGGGTGGCAATTATATGTTGACTTCTTTTTTTTTTTTGAGACGGAGTTTCACTCTTGTTACCCAGGCTGGAGTGCAATGGCATGATCTTGGCTCACTGCAACCTCTGCCTCCTGGGTTCAGGCAATTCTCCTGCCTCAGCCTCCTGAGTAGCTGGGATTACAGGCACATACCACCGTGCCCAGTTAATTTTTTGTATTTTTAGTAGAGACGGGGTTTCACCTTGTTGACCAGGATGGTCTCGATCTCTTGACCTTGTAATCCACCCGCCTCGGCCTACCAAAGTACTGGGATTACAGGTGTGAGCCACCTCGCCCGGCCATATGTTGACTTCTTAACACTCCAAGAGATAAAGATCTTTTCCAAATAAGCAAAAAAACTAGTCATTGTACAATATTAGCCTCTAAGAGAAATTTCCCTTTATAGACTACAATATTACTGACAAAAGTTTTATGCATTTTTTTTTTTTTTTTTTTTTTTTTAACCAAACCAAACCAAACCAAAAAAAAAAAAAGGCAGGGCACCTTTTTTTTTTTTTTTTGGGAAAAAGAGAAAAAGAAGGGGAAAAAAAGAAAAAGAGGGAAAAAGGAGTATTACTTCATTCCTAAAATGGGTTTCAATAATGGCCGATCAATATTTTGAGTGTTTAAAGTGGTTAATGCATATTTTATGTGTTTAAAATGAAGACCTCTATTGTGTTTATTTGTTCTGGCTCTGAGTTCAAATCCTGGATATCGTTATCAATTTGTTGTCTCATTGAATCTAAATCTCACTATGTGTCTTATGTATCTGGGTGTTAAGATCTCTTATTGTTACATTAATCCTTTTACCCTTGTATCCTTATAGCTTTGAAATCTATTTTGTCAAATGTGAAAATTGCTACTCCTGCTTTTTATTTATTTATTTTTGCTCTCCATTTGGTTGGTACGTTTTTTTTTTTTTTTCCAACCCTTTATTTTGAGTCTATGTATATCTTTGGATATACCGTTGGATTTTGTCTGTATCTTTTGATTGGGAGATTTGGTTGATTTAACTTTAGGGTTGCTGCCATTTGATATTAACTGGCTATTTTGTCCTTTTGTTGATAAAAATTCTTCTTTATGTTAATGCTCTTTACTTTTTGGTGTATTTTTAGAAAGGATCATACTGGTTGTTCCTTTCTGTGTATAATGCTTCTTTTAGAAGTTCTTGTAAAGCAGGCCTGGTGGTAATAAAATCTCTGAGTACTTGCTTGTTCCTAAAAGATTTTATTTTTCCTTCAAATGTAAAGCTTAAATTGGCAGGATATGAAATTCTGGGCTGAAAGTTTTGTTCTTTAAGTATATTGAATATTGGCCCCCACTCTCTTCTAGCTTGTAGGGTTTCCGTTGAGAGATCTGCTGTAAGCCTAATAGGCTTACCTTTATGGGTAACTTAATCTTTCTCTCTGGCTGCCCTTAATATTTTCTCCTTCGTTTCGATCTTGGTGAATCTAACGATTATGTGCCTTGGGGTTGGTCTTCTTGAGGAATATCTTTGTGGTGTTCTCTGTATTGCCTGGGGTTGAATAGTGTCCTGCTTTGCTAAATTAGGAAAATTTTCCTGGATAATGTCCTGGAGAGTATTTTCCAGCTTGACTTCATTCTCTCCGTCACATTCAGGTACACCAATCAAGCGTATATTAGGTCTTTTCACATAGTCCCATATTTCTTGGAGACTTTGCTCATTCCTTTTTATCCTTTTTTCTCTATTCTTGTCTTGTCGTTTTGTTTCATTAAGTTGGTCTTCGACCTCTAATACCCTTTCTTCTGCTTGATCCATTCGGCTGTTTAAGCTTGTACATATTTCACTCAGTTCTCGTGTTGTATTTTTCAACTCCATAAGTTCATTTGTATTCCTCTCTATATTGTCTATTCTTTTCAACATTTCATCGAACCTTTTTTCCAAGTTCTTAGTTTCTTTACATTGGGTTAGAACAAGTTCCTTTAACTCCCAGAAGTTTCTTATCATCCACCTTTTAAAGCCAACTTCAGATAATGGAACACAGTCCTTTTCCATCAGCGCTTGTTCCGTTACTGATGAGTGCTTTTCCATCAGGGCTTGTTCGGTTGCTGATGAGTCCTTTTCCATCAGGGCTTGTTCCGTTGCTGATGGGTTCTGATTTTGAGTATACTCGGCCTTCTTAGGCTGTTTTTTTCCCTTCATTATAGATGAACCGCCTTTCTAATTAGTTTTCTGAGTTGACGTCCGACTTTGATTCCCAGTGCTGGGATCCGAGCCACCCACTGTGGCAGCCTAAATAGCAGCAGTAAGACTGATGGTGCTCTTCTGCCCGGGAATCTCTGGTCTGGCTTCCCTCTTGAGTCCGCAACAAGCGGCTCTGACTTCCCGGAGCTCCAACTCTGGTCAGTAGGGGAAGCAGTCCCGTTGGCTCTGCGTGAAGAGCTGCTGCGCCGAGACGCCGGCAAAACCGCTGTGGCGGCCACAAGAGTCGCGCTGGCGACCCGTGGGGCTCCTCCACTGGGAATCGGCTAATCGGTGAGTGGCGAAAATTCGTCTAAAGATGTGGCGTCGTCTCGTTCTCTGAGCTTTCACTGGGAGCTACAATCCTGAGCTGTTAGTGGTCGGCCATCTTGAATCGATCTCGCATTTTTGTTTTATAAAGAACTCCACAGGAAGAAATTTCCCCATTCTTTCCCAGTAGACACCGCTACATCTTCTGTCACACACAAATCATTGGCACAGTACAGCATGTCCAGATGCAGAGAATCAAGGGGTTTCATAATTGCTTCCCTAACATATGCCCAGAGGTTGGTCAGATTTGTAGCCATTCTTGTAACAGGATTAATCTTTATAACTGTGCCCTTGCCTTGTGGATGGTTTTTAGTTCCATTCCAAAGATGAGCCAGTGTCTGGGTTACTCAGAGGTGTGCCATGGCGCCCTCCCTTGGCTGTTTTGTAATAACCAGAACAGCCCATTTCCCTGTGGACAGGCAGGCCAAGCTCTCCACGTCCCAGTACCACAGTTATGCAAAGGATACGGATGGAACTCACATTCAGAAAGCTAGAAAACAAGGCTGTGCCAGGCACAGTGGATGAGCAATGAGAGCTGCTAATGTCTTTTCTAGAAGCATGAGTGACCCAGCTCTTTGGTTCTGAGCATTTCTGTGCTTTAGCGTTTCTCTCCCTTATTCACAGTAAAGACATCTGCAGCTCTGCCTTCCTCCTGAGATCAGAAACTGGAGCAGCCACCACCTGCTCCTGAGATTTTCACAATCTCTGCCATTTGTTAGCAATGACCACTTAGCCAGACGTCTCAGCGCAGTGATCCCCCTTAAACCACAGCAGCAAGGCCCCACCACCCTTTCTTTTAATTCCCACCTTAATTTGATGCTGGTAACACTTTGTTTACCTATTTCCAATGGCAACAAATATTATGTAGAATGTGCACGTTTATTTTGTAGACTGTGGTCCCTGGACTGAAAGAACTCTCCACCTACCACATCTGTGACACGCGTAAATCACTCAGTGTCTCCAAACTTAATATCCTTGATGTGGAAAACAGGGATAGAAGCTAATAACACTGCAGGGCAGGAGACATGCGTTAATATAAAACTCTTGGCATGATTCCTACTGCATAGTTTTGCTATTATCATTGCTTGTATTTTTGGTGCATTTTAACCAACTTAGTTTTATTTGTTAAAGTACAGTACACACAATTGTTTCTTTTTTTACAGAATTAATCAATTTAATTTTCTAGTACAAAAGTTAGTGTTTTGTATGTGTTAAAAATTGAGTCCCATCTGAAAAAATAAACTGAATATTCTTCCAAGTAAATTTCAATATTTTTTTTTTGGTCACATGATATTTAGTGGTTTACTAATTGACTTTGACGTTAAAGGACTGTTTTTGTAATCCCAAAGTCATTGCCCGCTTTTACTTTGAACAAGATGTACTCGTGGGGTGCTTCAGGGCCAACTCTGTTTTCTCCATGCAGCCTATTCCTTGCTGCTGGTTCTGAGTCCCTGAGTGAAATCTGGGATCTTCATGGCTTACCTACTTAAGTTCAGAAAAAAAAACAAAACCCTCCGGTCATCTCCGATAACAAGAAGAGGCCTGATTTCAGTCATTAAACTGTGCGGTGTGGTGTCATCAAATGGCCATGTTGCATTGGAGAGCCAAGCTTCCTCTCCCAGAGCAGCCTGCCTGGGCAGGGGCCCTGCAGAGCCAGGCCAGTGGGGAGCCCTGGACCCCTCTCACCAGCCCCACCCACCACCTTAGCCTCTGACCCCTCCAAGTCCATCTGGGAGAGTGTTGGGGGAAAGTGGAAGAGCAAGGAAAGTGCCAGTGATGGGCACTGTCCAGCCAGAAGCCCACAATGGCTGAGGTGGCAGACACTTCATGGGAGACATTCCCTGCCACTGCCAGGGACCTGGCACCTACATTTCATGATAGGGGAAAAGCCTTCCTCTGGCTGGCCCCATAGTCGCCCCCTTTGGTCCTCCATCACTGGCAACACCCTTGTTGCCATCTTCCCCTGCCCTCAGATCCACGGGCTCTGAAACTGGGCCCTTCTTTTGCTCAGGGTGGACCTCCTCTAACCGGATGGAGGGAGAGCAGCTACTCACAGGGTGGCATCTTCGGCACTGCCTTGGGCGCTTCAGCCAGCCCTTTGTTCCTGATGGCTTGAGGATGATCAGAAAATAGCCCCCTTGGTTCCCCCAAAGCCGGGAGAACACGAGCAGGTTCTCAGAGTTGGTACCTGGACGCCCCTTGTGGGGGCAGGTGCAAGGTTACACTCAGAAAAACTGAAAACTCTTTCAAGAACTCTCTTCACCCCTCCCTCTCTTGGTGCTCCCCAAGTTGCTCCAAGGGCTGTGCCTGCCTCTGGCCCTGCCTGTCCAGGTCCTGCCTGAGCCGTCCAGGGCCTCCTGTTGTTTGTCTTAGGCCTTGGAGCTGTGTAAGTGATCTAAATTTATACTTTTTTTTTTCTTTTTTTTTTTGAGACGGAGTTTTGCTCTTGTTACCCAGGCTGGAGTGCAATGGTCTCGGCTCACGGCAACCTCTGCCTCCTGGGTTCAAACAGTTCTCCTGCCTCAGCCTCCTGAGTAGCTGGGATTACAGGCACGCGCCACCATGCCCAGCTAATTTTTGTATTTTTAGTAGAGATGGGGTTTCACCATGTTGACCAGGATGGTCTCGATCTCTTGACCTCGTGATCCACCCGCCTCGGCCTCCCAAAGTGCTAGGATTATAGGCGTGAGGCACCGCGCCCGGCCAAAATTTATACATTATTTTCTTCCCATTTTCTATTTGTTACTTTTACCAATTCATTTAAAAGAACATTTATGGGCTTGCCCCGTCCCTGCTTCCCCGTCTTCTATACCCCTCACTCCCTGAGGCTCCCCAGAACCATGCCAGTGGAAGAGGAGAAGCTCAAGTGGCCACCATGTCCGGAGCTTATTTCCGGAAGGAGTCGGGTGCACTGGAGCCTGAGGAGAACTTTCTGTCCTTGCACGACATCCGGATGTCGCAGGAGACGCTCCCACTGCGCTCGTAGACCCGCCTGCCTCGCCTGGCGTTTTCTTCCTGGAGCGCAGGCGCAGAGACTGACAATGCAGTGCCGCCGCGCTCAAAGCCTGAACTCCCCTTGTGGCTGCAAAAGGACGTTTTGACAAGCGACGGATTCGTTCTGTGGACTTCCCAAAATATAAGGGGAGGGTTGGAGGACCGTGTTCCGTGCGGATGCCAGTGTGACGGACCGCCACAAAATGAGGCCCCATTTCTACGGGTTTGGCTCCCAGCTCCCGCATTTTGACAGTCTTGAGAATGCAACTATTTCCCAGTCTCTGCTGCAGAACTTTTATTGGACTTGCCGCATCATGGACTCCTCCCCAAAAACTTACAACGGAGACACTTCAGCTCTGGTAGCCAGGCTAGAAGAGATGGAGAGGGGCTTATTTCAAACAAGGCAGAAAGGACTGAATGACTTTCAGAGAAAGGGCAGGCTTCTTGGATCACAGCTTCCAACCTCGTTTAGAATTACAAAAAGGGAAAATTCACTGACATGGAAGAAGGAAGGCCAGAAGAACACAGAATGGCCCCTGTAGACACAGCCCTCCGTGTGTCCTTGATAGAATCCAGTTGACCTTGTACAGGACCAGAATCTTGACCCATTTCATGGCTTATTTCCTGCAGCCATAGGGAATTATAGGGAATTGGACATGCTGTGTTTGAGCTAAAAGGCCTTGACTGTGGGTCAGCAGGGCCTTTTAGCGCAAAAAAAAATCAAAGTCCTTCCTAAATAAGGATCACTGCAATATACATCACAGTAGAGTTGCAACTGGGATTCCTTCTGTCTGGGAGTTTGGACAGCTTCAGATATCCAGTGTCACTAGCCACAAAGGACAGGTACGTATTGGGTCATCTTCGCCTGTTCACAAAATGTTCTCTTGATCTTATTTGCCTCATCTTCCTCATGGTTGTACAGAGGATACCACTCCCTACCCCCCACCATGCTGCCCTGACTTGTAAGTATCCCCTGCTGCCTGCCTGCAGGGAGTTATCCCAATTTCCAAAAGCAATCACCAAGAACAAAGGAGGAAAAGGGAAAGGCAGATGAAAAGCATGGCTTTTACTAAAGAAAATATTTTGGCTTCATACTCTGTACTCAGGGCTTAATGAACTGGAATTGCATAACTCAGCAGTCCACCTGGAAGGGAAATGGTTAACCTGAGCTTGTGTTTGCCTCTTAGATCCTAAGCGCACCCGAACACTTATTCCACTCCTTGTCTAGAAAAGCTGTTGGGGAGTTGTTTGGAATTGCAAAGCAGTTATTAAAAGGTGTTAACCAGCCTGCATGACGCCTGGAAGTCAGGACTTGGTTGCTGACTATTAAGGGTCTTGTTTAAGAAACCTAACATTGCAAACATTGGCAGAAGCCTCCATTGTGTCTTTTTCCCTTCAGTAAGTTTTGCAACATCTCCTGGAGATCAAGGACGCAAACAGGCTGAGAAAGAAACTGTGTTCCTTGGGTCCACTGGACTGTTCGCAGGGCATCACTGACACCCCACACCCCTCTGACACCCCACAACTAGCAAATAATGTCTTTGTTGTTAGAAAATATAGAGGAATTTGGGTTTACAGATTGTGCAGATGCAAACTTAGATGATCTTGATGCAAACTTAGAATGACAGACATGCAGGCTGAATGACAAAAATGCAGGCTGGGCATGGTGGCTCATGCCTGTAATCCCAGGACTTTGGGAGGCCAAGGCGGTGGATTACTTGAGGTCAGGAGTTCAAGATCAGCCTGGCCAATGTGGTGAAACTCCATCTCTACTAAAAATACAAAAATTAGCTGGGTGTGTACCTGTAATTCCAGCTATTCAGGAGGCTGAGGCAGAAGACTCGCTTGAACCTGGGAGGTAGAGATCGCAGTGAGCTGAGATCGTGTCACTGCACTCCAGCCTGGGTGACAGAGCAAGATCCCGTCTCATAAAAAAAAAAAAAAAAAAGACATAAATACTTTTAAAATGCCTCTTTTAAGATGGAATTGAAGTTTTTATAATTTGATTTTAGTGCTAAATAAATGATTGGCTTTGTACACACAGACACATACAAAACCATTTGTGGTGCCCAGGAAAACAGAATTAAGGTATAAGCTTCTAAATTTTTATATAAATTTATAAATTGAAAGATTTAGGCTTTGTTTTTGCTGCTATTTATTTTATGTAATATTAGCACTTACCTATATAGGTACTTGTCAATTTCTCTCCCTTTCTTCCTTACGAAAATTAGAAAATATATTTATAATTAGCTGTGAAAATGCCAGTATTTGGATTTTTCACTTCTGTATTTATTTCTATGTTAAAGTATCTATTTTGATATAACACAAAAGAAGGTGGATTTCCTTGGCTGGGCACGGTGGCTCACACCTATAATCCCAGCACTTTGGGAGGCCAGTGGGGTGTAGATCATTTGAGGGGAGTTTGAGACCAGTATGCTCAACATGGTGAAAACCCATCTCTACTAAAAATACAAAAATTAGCCAAGAGATAGTGGTGTGCACCTGTAATCCCCGCTACCCAGTAGGCTGAGGCAGGACAATCCCTTGAGCCTGAGAGGTGGAGGTTGCGGTGAGCTGAAATTGGGCCACTGCACTCCAGTCTGGGAGACAGAGTGAGACCCTGTCTCAAAAAAAAAAAAAAAAGTGGGTTTTCTAGGGGGAAAATCAGCTTTAAGGAGTCACTAGGTTAAAGCATTTACATCTGAGGGTCCCCTGAACTTTTAAAAAGATGTTTCTTATGGGTTGGTAAAAGACCTCCAAGCTTACAGGAAAAATTGAGAATTAAAAGCCAGATCGCTTAAGTGGGGTTATTGGACAGTTTGTTGTGCTCTTCTACACCAGTAGGAAGTGGAGATGGTTTCTGGATGGAGCCGGCACCTTCTGGCACTTCAGAGAAACCAGCAGGAGATCAGAATGTCCCCAGAATTCAGGCTGGCCCTCACCTGCAGAGCCATTCGCCAAGATGCTTTGATGCAGAGAAGTGACCAGATTTCCCCGGGAGACCACAGGGAGGGCAGACAGAGCTCACAGTGGTTGCTGCCTGTGTTGGGCGTGGCCATATTTTACTTTGCATAATAAAGACAATCAAGTTTAGCTATCCAGGTAATGAAGCCACACAGTCAAGCACCTATTTACCTGGTTGATGAGTTCCTCGATATTGGGAGACACTGGTACAGG